GAGGATCCCATAAATAATTTGTATGTACTGTAGATCTACTTACTAATGATCTTTAAACTGTTTTTTCCTGATGATACAGTATCAGAATGCATCTTAGGGGCAGTACCAGTGTCACTATGCAAAGTATCAATGGCCTATAAAAAGTACATATATATAATAAGTAAAAATTTATTGCATGAATAAAATTATAACTAACCTGTAGAATTGAGTCATTACTAGTGACTTCAGCAGTGTCAAGTTGTTTGATGCTGTCATTCTCATTCTCTTCCTTACCACTAGACAAGGCTGGTATCTCATTATTCACTTTTTCCTCTACTTGTGGCGGGCCAGGTGGCACATAATGAGGAACTACATAATGAGGAACTACAATCTCACCAGAGTGATCAGAATCATCATTGGTTACGTCTTTTGACAGATCTAGTGGCATACAACGGGTCACTGTCATCACACCAGAATGGCCAGAATCATCAAATTTTTCTGGTGGCATTTCATCATTTAAATCGTCATAAAGGAGAGTTTCATTTTTATCTTGTGTACCAGTTTTACTGCTATTTTCATGTCCAGGAAACAATAATGCCACAGAAAGAGGAGCAGGCCCATTATTACTATTGATGGAATTTTCAATGGCAAACCAACGAGTTGATGAGTGATTATCCTCTAAAAATAAATATATAAAAAATAATAAATTAATAAATTTGTTATTATGTAGTTTATCAACCTGGAGGTGAAGTCCCCAATTTAAAAATTAATTTCGCCATCATGCTACATGCATGTTACACTAGTCTCACCCCACCCCTTGGCTACTTCCGAATAGTAGCCAAGGGGCGGGGCAAGATTAATGTCACATTTTTTATGCAGTTTATGTGACACATAAGCAACCACCCACCCATCTCTTTATGTAATTGTTAGTAAAATGGTAGCTTGAAAATGGAAAGATTTGAGCTTTTCTAGCAGTGAAATAGACACAAGTAATGTCAAAAAACTTCCAGATCTAAGCATTAGATTAAAAGAAACTCAGTGAGAGGAAATAGACACTAGTTGATGGCAATACACATTACAATGTTATTATGCGTTTTGAGTCAATACACAATATTATACTAACCATCTTTCGGTTGTTCAACTAATGACGTAACACAAAGACTAGAAGCTCTTTTTCGGGGAGATTCTTCTTCAGCTTCAGAATAAAAACACTCATTTTGTACAGCCTGAGATGAACTTTGTTGATCAGTACTAGTGTTCAAATCATCATTAGGAGGAGAAAAATCTTTCCAAACAGGCTAATAATAGATCTAATAATTATGCCATTATGATGTAATGTAATACCTCATCTTTGCTAGTACATGTAGTTGAGTTAAGATCTCCAGGAACAGTAACATTCCCTCCCTAATAATGATAATAATAATAAACTAAATTGTATTAGTATTACCTTATTAATATCTCTAGAAACAACAATTTCATCATCAGTTTTATCATTTGTAGCAAGAGCAACAACAGTGTCATTACTTCTATATGCAGTGACAGCATCATCATCATGACCAGGTGGTAGTAATGGAGCAGTAGAATTATAAGTGGATGATAAGCTATATGCTGGTTGTCCCTAATAAGTATAATAGTGTAGGAGTACAGTTTATGTGAATCTCATTACAAAGATAGGAAAAGTATTATTGCTTTATGTAAAGGTGGTCATTATTATAGTCAATATAATGACTCACAGTAGGATCCGTGTGACTTTTGGTACTATTTGGAGGTAAACCAACAGAATCAGATTGTGACGATGAGCTGTTTTGACCCTAATAATAAAACAAAAGAAATATAGGCCATGTGTCCTGCTAGTGTGCAACAAATAAGTACAATCTAAGTGGAGAAGTACTGATCATGAATCTCATTATAGAGATGGGCAAATTAGTACAGCACTGCTCATTACACATCTGTTACTTGTAGGTTTAACACCGACTAGGAGGGATTACAAAGGGTTTAAAATTTTATGATCCCGACTAGGAGGTGTTAAACTGATATAACAACAAATGCTATTATAGCTGAGCATTGTGAACTCACTGCCATATGCATATGGTGCCATATATGCAGTGGGTTACATATAATCCACTGCATTGCGACAGATTGCGCATTACATAGAGCAACAATGGAAGCTTGGGCTACTGTTGGGTCAGTTTGGTGCAAAAAGAAGGCTAAAGAAGTAACTGAATGAAGCTAATCTTATGCTGATGTGACCCTAGGATTGCTTTGACTGATGATGGGCCCAATGTGCTGGATGACACTGGTGAAGATGACTCTAGTGGGCTATGAAGAGCAAGAGGAAGGTCTTATTCTCAGAAGAAGAGCCCGCAGACTTTTTCTATTACTATTAACAGTAATAATGGCTATTTTAACATTTTAATCAAAATTTGTGAAATCAAACATGTATATTTTCTTGGCCCTGGCTCAGCCCTGGGATTTACACAATTTTAATACCTCATTAAGTCATCAAACCATCAAAGAATATTATTCAAGAGTTGTTTACTTTCAATTGGCAATTGGGCACACTCATTATTTTCATTTAAGCTTTTAGTGACTATAAAGGCCCCCATACACTAGGCAACATGTTGCTTGCAACATGT